ACAAACCTTTGTTAAATCTGGCAGCATGTCCTCTTGTATTCTGTGGTCATAAAATATCACGGCATAACTGTGGAAAAAATTGCAAGAAAGCATGGTTACCGTAAGATAGCACAAGTCGTGAACTTCATAATAAGTGTAAAAGTAATACAATATTTTTGTTAGAGAGGGATAGAGAGCAGCAATTAATTTTGTTATGGCATACATTTTGTAGTTAAAGAAATGCTGTAAATACAATTTAATACATGAAGACAACAGAGATGAAACATATGCATTTATATCCATCTGAACAAAGTAGGCAAGCTGTGGGCAAGCGTTTTGGTGCAGCTGGCTTCCATCAACTGTTGCCTTGCAGACACCCCATCATGACAGACATCCTGCTAATACACATGTCAGACAAAGGCTCCATCCCTGGCCAAAGCTACATTATATAGGTACGTAAATAACTCCCACTATCACAGAGTTACAGACACTTCACAGAGATGCCAATCCAGAAAAAAAAAAAAAAAAAAAAATCTGCGAAATCGCCAATTTTACCATCTTCAACCATAAAAAACGTGCTGTTCAAAGGAGAGCTCTGCCAATCAAACCGGAAAAAATGCATCAAATATGCAAAATTTTGCTCCCAAAATACCAACCATTGGCCAAAATATGTCTGAAAATGTATAATGTGTGCTTTCGTTCTTATTGTCTGGGAGATTTGGTGACCCATACGGGAGACCAGGAGATTCAGTCCGTATCTGGGAGACTCCTCCAGATAACTTGGGAGAGTTAGCATAGAAGACTTCATCTGGTCCCAAACTAATAACTTTGTTGTTCCTCAAAAGACAACTTGGCTGTACTGAATGGCATATTCTGTAGCCTTGCAATATACAAGTTCAAGTACACTATTTTGACCTATATCAAATGATTATGTGTCAAAGTAAATGTGTATCACAAATTAAAAGAACCCGGTAATCTAGAAAGAGTACTATAATAGAGCAATATACATTATATATGTGACATTTTACAACCAAAAATTGGATCCTTTTTTCCCACCCTGCCATTGCAGACTTTTGCTATAACAGACACCAACTGACAGTCTTGAGGGTGTCCACTATAACAAGAGTTGACTCTGCATGTTCCAGGATATACACAGGCAAAAGAGGTCACAAGATTATACATGCACAGTATGTCAAAAGGAGCTATCTGGTTAGGTGCATTTTGAACAACAGAGCTACACGTATTAAGAAAAAGCTTAGCTGAGAGCAAACAATTTATCTATGTGTATAAATACCGGCATCAGATGAATTAACATCTGAATGGCTTCACAAGTTTTATTATAAATCCGTGGTATAGAGGGGACCATTTGCTCAAGTGTTACATGTATGGCTTTGCGGACAGTGTTAATAGTGTTAATAAGCCTAACGCAAACATAACCTAACAAGTCGGATCTTCAGTACATGTAAAATGAAATATCATCTTTAATAATCTCTTATAAAAGTTACTCTGGATACGTGTGTGCATTCATAATAAAACCATAATGGGCTAAACCTTGAAAACCCCCGGCTATGCAATGGTTTTCCAAGCAATAACGAAGTGAACAATAGAGAAACATTTGTTTACGACCGTGGCGAATATTTGAGTCACAACTCTACAAATTGACTCTTAATCTTGTTTTCTGTCAATATTGTTCCTTGCTTGATGAAAACCCTTTCCAACAAGCTTTTAATGGATTACCAAGGTTACCCATTATAATGAAAGCTTACTTGTTCGCGGCACCACTTGGTATACCAGCCTTCGTGAAAAATGTCGTCCATTTTGTAACTGGAACAGTAAACATTTACACGACTATTAAAACCACTGGAGAACGAGAATCTACAGATGATAGCGTGTGAAGATCCACTACTAACCAATAAGGACAGATCATACCTTGTAAACTCATTTTCCACGGATCATCAAAGTGATCGAGAACAGAATCGAACGTAATATATCAACGACGCTTGGACGAGATAAATAATCCAGGGAATCACCAGGAATCACGGGAAACAAATTTCAAGGACTACGTTGTATATGCTACATTTAGGTGTTAGGGTAACCTAAACAAGGCAGGAAATTTATGCAGGAATTTAATTATTTGCGGCGCCAATTTGCTTGAGGTTTGTGGGAACTAATTTTGGTATTGGGAAAGACTGGCTTTTCAAGCTAGGAATCAGTGTTTGCAATTTTCACTAAGTCGCGTTTATTTTAGCCTCTTCCAGGCGTTCAGTTAATTGGGGCGCAGTGCGAAAAACAGCGTACGAAAAAATCCCTGGGGGAGAAGCGCGGCGAGAGAAAGCGAAACTAAAGAAGCTTTCGCTTTCTCTCGCCGCGTTTCTCCCAGGAGAGAGCTTAAGCAACGCCGAGGACGACGCCTAGTAGAAAACGAAGTTAAATTTTACCAGCGAAATTTGCGATTGTCTAGATCTCTTCGGTACGCCAATGGCTCTAAAAACGTGCTCAGGTTAAATATGCAATTACANACGACGCCTAGTAGAAAACGAAGTTAAATTTTACCAGCGAAATTTGCGATTGTCTAGATCTCTTCGGTACGCCAATGGCTCTAAAAACGTGCTCAGGTTAAATATGCAATTACATCGCTCAGTCACCAAATGAAAATAAGAAAAATTAGCCGTCGTCGTCCACGTTCAGTAGACAACCCATAACTTGGTCATTTCACGTTGCTGTTTTGCAGAGGACGGCAAAGAAATGTACAAAGATTTATAACGCACGTACACATTGCTTTTCTCATTAAACCTTTTGTTTACTGACGTTCTCGTAGCCGTCGTCGTGGTCGTTTGCTTAATCCCCCTATTTCGCACGCTGTTTTTCGCACTACGCCCCAACTAACTGAACGCCTGGAAGAGGCTACGTTTATTTGAAATACAACATATCCACGCGGTAATCAGTCACTCTATTACAGTCACTGCGTCTTGCCCCAGTGTGGCTGACAATAACCGGCTCAGTCTCTCAGACGATCCTCTTCTCTAAACTTTTTTAGCGGCTACACCTGTAGTGTTCCATGAGCAATTTAATCGTTTTATTTAAATAACCGTTTGAAATAAATGGCATCAATAAGATCCTACAAGTGAGGTTTTTATATATTATTTCGCCAGCGAAGTAAATTTTCACGGAGAAAATGTTTGCAGCAACTTTTTTTTCGGACTGTGGGAAAAACCGCAAAAATCGGTGTTCGTGGAGGTCATGGGTTCGATTCCTGTGGGGGACTCAGATTTTTTTCTTTGTCCCACGTTCGTGTCATGTTGATCAATTCACCTTTCAGATTTAATTACCGAGCTTAAAATTCACCATCTTTATTCACTAATCATCATTTATTCAGTTCACGTTCACGTTGTACCTAAATGACAGATTTTCGTATCCTTTCATATACCCCAGCTTGCAAAATCCCTACCTATTTTTATACCTGAAGCCTAAAAAAAAAACACCTTTCAGACAGAGTCTCCCCGTATAGGCTATTATAGGGTATACCCCATGGGTGTTGTTATCAATAGTTCTATGTTTCGTTTTACTAATACACTTCTTACTGCATTTTTACTCCTGTAAATTCGCGCACTAAATTTCCTCAACACTGCTCCTAACCATTCCGAAGACTCGACGTTTCAATAGACTGTACGCGTTAACTTTGCATCGCATCCGCGACCCAAGCTAGCTCGGCTAACTCCTAGCTGCAGCTGACTCCTCGATCCTCGCTGACTGGAAACGCGCGGGCTCTGGGGACGACAGACGCGTCGATTGCTGTTTTGTCTTGCTGGATTCTGTAGAATAAACTTTAAACATCAAAGTTAGGTGTGGCTTAATTTCGTTAATTTCATTTATTTATTTATTTATTTATTTATTTGTCTTTCCATTTATTTATTTATTTATTTATTTATTTATTATCTTTCTATTTACTTATTTATTTTAGACTTGCGTCGTTATCAGCACAGGCAACCAAGTCTTTTCGTTCTCAGCACACTTCCTCAAATGTGATTGGTACATAAACTGCTGTATTTTGTCCTAATTAATCTGCAAAGTTGTAATCGGACAGTGTAATCGGACAGCTGGCTGTAATCGGGCATCTGTAATCGGACAGTTACATGAGCCAACCATTTTAAGTCCTCTCCATTGAATCCACTAATCACAGCATTGATTACAATCACTGAGTGACCAATTCAAGAGCCTGACTTTGTAAAATTGTGGAGGTTTAGCCGGTCTCCTGTGACCGTTTTGAAAGAAACTTAACAGCCATTTTGTAAGCTATTCTCCATATCTTAATTATGATATTTAAAAATGACTGTATTAAAAGCTCTTTTTGAAATGAAACTTTTACTTTTGTAGGAAATTGTAATAATTATGATTAATTGGTAACAGGACATCGTGTGATTAACAAATCGGACCGTCTCCCGCTTCGCGGTCGTCCGATTTTGTTAATCACCCTATGCTTACAGACCCAATTGGACTCCACTCAATCTCATTACCATTATCAATCAGTTTGCCGGATAATTGCAACAGCCAAAATGTAAAAAGTTCTTTTTAAACCTAAAATTATGAGCAAGTTTTCATTACAACCATATAAACTCCTGATAAAACATAACTTTGCTCACTTTCAGACTGTGAGGACGCGCAATAGTCCATGGGCCAGACCCTCTCAGATGTACCACTCAGAGGGACCAGCTGAGAGTGTGACAAATTTGAAGTTAAGTTGCGGGTGATTACAAGATGTTATGATAGCAACCCCTAAAGAGTAGCTTTCTTGTATATTTTATTGGCTGAAAT